AAAGAAACAAAGAACGCTACCACGATTATCTTATTCTTTCTATGCTCGTTATTAAATAATACGTCTGGTTTTAAGTTTTTACTTTGTTTTGTCTATACTAGTCAGTGTTCAACGCATTTTTATCGAATACGATCTGGTGTTTTAGCATTCGTTTCCACTTTGTGTACATTTTTGCAAGCAGGATTAGGGGGGGGGGGTAAAAAAAACGTACCCATTTTTCATGAAAAAGTATCCACCAGTTAATATCTGTTCTAAGGGGCATAAGTTAGATGGTCCATAAAGTCTAGTTTCTCGTATCGGAGAAAGTCGTCAGACTTGTTTATTATGTTCGTTACAGGATACATTCTTGCGGTCTGTCCCCTTTTAGTATAAGTGAATTTTATCGAACATGATATCCCTATATAACTTTATGTTTAATGCAGTTTGCTACCAGTGTGACTGTACTTGGTGTTACGCATTAGCTGTTTTTCTCTTGTTAACACGGGCCGGGTATGGGTGAATGGTTAGCGTGCCGGGCTGCGTACGGAAAGGTTCGAGACTCAAGCCGCGATATGCTCCTGGATACACTCCGAAGTTTTAGGTGTGCGTGCGTTATAACTGTGGCAGTCATTCTCGCTATTCGGTTAAGAGTATCTGAGTACACGAGAGGTACTACTAAATGGTTGTCATTACCGCCGATTAGAAGTTATAAATTAAGGTTGGCTATTTTTGAATATTGTGGTCTTTAATTTGTCCGCTTAATCACGTGCCTTATAAGGTACCGTTCAGATTGAAGTCACCAACAATTCTTGTGAAGAAATTAGTAGGATGTTCTCGACTGAATTTTTTTCTAACAAATTAAACATTGTTATAACTATAACAGAATAAACAAGCTATGTATAAATTAGCAGGAGTATTTATTTTGAAACCTTTAACCTTCCCAGTGTAAGGATTTACGTTACAAACGACGTGTTTTGCAAAACATGGAATTTCATTGGCACTGGGAAAATATGAAACTGATTTATTCGAGACGTAATAGAATTGAGGTTCTTCTTTCGTCTAATTTCTAATTTGAAAAAGTTACTTATAATTACCCAGAGAAGGAACACTCTAAAAAAGGGTTTTAACATTTTTATAACATGTCACACCAAAAACAATTAAACAAAAATACCGTTGGTATTGCAATTAATCTAACTATGTATTGTAGATGTCCACAAAGTATTTCATATAGCATACAAGGGATTTTATTCAGTTTGTTTGGTCAGTTCTTTACAATGAGTTTTGTAACAAGCAAAAACATAACATTACTCAATATGATGCAATATATGAACCAATGGATGGTTCTAGAGTCTCGTTGTTGAGGAGGCAATGAATCAATGGATGGTTCTAGAGTCTCGTTGTTGAGGAGGCAATGAATCAATGGATGGTTCTAGAGTCTCGTTGTTGAAGAGGCAATGAATTAATGGATGGTTTTAGAGTCTCGTTGTTGAGAGGCAATGAATCAATGGATGGTTCTAGAGTCTCGTTGTTGAAGAGGCAATGAATCAATGGATGGTTTTAGAGTCTCGTTGTTGAGGAGGCAATGAATCAATGGATGGTTCTAGAGTCTCGTTGTTGAGGAGGCAATGAATCAATGGATGGTTCTAGAGTCTCGTTGTTGAGAAGGCAATGAATCAATGGATGGTTCTAGAGTCTCGTTGTTGAGGAGGCAATGAATTAATGGATGGTTTTAGAGTCTCGTTGTTGAGGAGGCAAGTGGTTATTTTTTGGTTCCTGAATGCGAGGATATTTTACGCATCGCATGCTATTAGTTAGTGAAGTAACTGAGGCGGAAGTATACAGCCGCATTTTCCCACTGCTTAACATTGGATAACTTGGTACATTTTGTGTGATTTTGACTAAAATTTGGGGGCCACTTGATGGCTTCTAAAGAGTAAATATCCTCTTTGCCCTCACCCCACGCGATAACCTCTGGTGTTCCTGTTTGAACCGCATCGATCGTATAAAAACATTGTTGGTTTAAGGATTAAACTCTGTTGGTTGCTTAGAGTAACGTAAGATTTTAACCATTGTCAGAAAATGATCCAGTATATATATATTCTCGAATAAATTCATTTCGTTCTGCTGTTTAAACCGATTTACCCTCAGTATACATAACATATAATTATGGAACTGATATACTAAATAAAGTGAACCTTCAGTATCTTAACTATAGCAGCTTAAGGCTTGAAGGACAACACTAAGAGAGCAGTAATACAAGTTTATCGTCTTGAGATGCTTCTAATATCCCACTTTCTCCCAGTGTGCTACAGGATAAATTAAGTTTAACGATTCTGAGCGCTTATGGGAATTGCTGAATCTGACATTGTTCTCACTATATTGTTTTCCACTTGCATCCTCTATCTTTGTTGCCAAGACAACTTGCTTGGCCAGCTTTGTTTTGTTGAGGTTTCGTGCACTTTCATCAGTTATGATGTGGATGATAGTTGTTGTTTTTTCAATTATCTTTTATATAGTCTAACCCAACCCTATTTATTTCCGTTTTTCATACCCGGTCGAAGTATTTTATTTGTTATATATTTTAGACTTCGGTAACAATAACATAATATAATGATATCATATTTTACTACCACTATTAAAGTTACTACTATCTATTAAGAAAAAAAAGTTCATGTTCACCCGTAGTAGCATATATATATTCATTATATCACAGAAAGTTGAAAATATTTAATAATTTAACACGCTAGTATACTCGTATTATTACTGGCTTCCTGTCGTTCATCTTCAAATTTAATCATCAATATAATAACATAGTTTTGACATTTCTGTTCTGTATTTTTCAGCCATTCAATCACTGGACTCCCTGAACGACGAAATTGTACAGTTTATCTTTACCCCCAAGTCTGCAGAATTTGATGTCGATTCCAATTCTTATGATGACCCCCCAACAATCGCCAGATGTCGGCAACAACGCGAGGGCCTCAAGACTTCCATGGCACTCGTGCGACGTCTTCTGGTGGACGCCCAAGCAAAATTCCGGAAGATGATGGAGGACAATAAGGCTTTGGCGTCGAGCATAGATGGTAATATTCAGAACACTTCTCGTCAGGAAGTGTCTGAGCTACGAGTTGAGCTGATCAATACTGGCAAACGGATTTCAGAAATAACTTCAACTTCTCCGGAGTTCAGTGACGCCCCCATTATGGCAGGAAACACGCTAACCACTTGTTTTCCTGCTCCAAAGAATAACGTGATCTCAATGAACCAATCTGAATCTAACTGTAATTTTCAGAATTCAAAAACTTCGTCCTCACCTAAATCAAGCACGAACAATTCCTGTTCAAATAGGGAAGAAGGTGACAGTGATAAACAGACCAGTCCTGTTAAAAATAATGCCACGAGCCTCATAAGTACAACAACACCTTCTAACGATAACCAGTGTGAACGATGCAAAAGTAAGTATTTCCTCATTAATGTTAATATTCATAAGAAACAGTAGACGTATCTGTAGTCAACATACGTTATCAAGTATGTGCTGACGTAATATTTTTGTTGTGGATTTATAAACAACTGTTTCTCAATTCTTCTGAGGGATGTTAGGACTGTTCCTGCCTCGTTTCGGGTTCCTCAGTTGTTGCCTGCACTGCATAAAGCTACCTTTAAGTAAGAATTATATCTATAGGGTTTACAATTAGCAGAATTAGGCACTAAAAACAAAAATGGCAACATTTTTTTTCTTTTAACTCTGTTTCTAAAACAGCGAAGGCAAAAGCTAGTTCAGAAAT